TATAGGAGTAAATGTAGAGACGCAGCTCGACAAACGCGCCGTAGCTGGTCCATTCCAAGCCGTGCAAAGGAACTGAGGGAACTTGTTCCGTATTCGAGACGTCCCAAAGCGCTTCACAGAATGTACTGTGAGGTGGAGTGACTGTGTATTTTGTGCGGGCGAAAGGCGGCAGCCAATTGCGCGCAGCTGCGTCCCCATAAACGGTTAAACCCCAATAGCGCAAGGAAGCCATTGGAGAGGAGAGCGCAATCTCTGAGCCATTGACACAAGAACCGTCAAACTCACTCACTCACTCACTCACTCACTCACTCACTGCCTCACCCACACACTCGCTCAACCACCCACCCACCCACCCACCCACCCACTCACTCACTCACTCACTCACTCACTGCCTCACCCACACACTCGCTCAACCACCCACCCACCCACCCACCCACTCACTCACTCACTCACTCACTCACTCACTCACTCACTCACTCACTCACTCACTCACTCACTCACTCACTCACTCACCCACCCACTCACTCACCCACCCACTCACTCACTCACTCACCCACCCACTCACTCACTCACTCACTCACCCACCCACTCACTCACTCACTCACTCTTTAGGGGGGGCTTTCTCCCTCTCACGATTGGGGGAGGTGGGGGTGGGGGGGGGGGGGGGAACCGAGTGACCGGGAAGTCCTTGAAAAGAGGAAAGAGTTAACAGAAGAAATTTCAATCCCCAGCGGTGAGATTTGAAGGCAAATCCTGTTACCCGATGCACAGTGCAGTCCCGCGCCGACCGCCAATTGAAAAGGAATGTGTTTGGCAAAGGCCAGGAAGTCACATGGATCTCCACGTGCTCCTGTGCCTGAGAAGAACAAAGTATTGGAAGCGAGGGCCGGGCGCGTGGAGATGAATGAAAGCGTGCAGGGAGGAGAGGAGGGGGAGGAGGGGGAGGAGAGGAGGGGGAGGAGGGGGAGGAGGAGAGAGGGGAGGGTTTTGTTCGATTGCTTTCCGAATAGAACAGTCAAGCTTTCTACTCTACCCAACAAATGGTGCGGACAGGAAGTCTCTGTTATCCTGTTATCACTCCAGCATTTCTACTGTTCCATATGGCCTACAGATGTACGGACCATTCCCGAACGTGAAGTTGACTTCAATGTCGGGGCTTAAACCCCAGAACCTTGGTGACCCGTTGGTGCGAGGTGGGCTGGTACCGTTTACCAATCTGTAGTGACTGTGTGTGTTGCGGGCGAAACGCGGCAGCCAATTGCCCACAGCAGCGTTCCCCCCACAAACAGCCGCGGGTTGAGTGACGGAATTGTTATTATTTATTTTTGAAGGGGTTATTGCACCCGGAAAAGTGATCCGTGTGTGTGTGTGTGGGGGGGGGGAATGGGGGGGAAGTAAGGAAACTTGCCCAATAGTTTCGCCCTGACCTGACCCGCCCGGGAATCGAACCCGGGTCCTCTCGCCCGCCAGGCGAGGAGGGCTCTAAATGCTGAGCTACAGTAAACATTTTATTGGGTCGTTCCCATCATCCAAAACACACCAGAATTCATTCAAATATACTGCGTATTAATTGATCCCATTACAAATGCTTCCCTGTGGAGCACATCGCGCTATAGCTGTGCAATTTAGAAAGGCAACACATGCTAAACAGTCCCAGATGCAACGACTACATGTTCGATAGCCGACAAAATACATGGATATATTTTTCCAGCCCATGGCTGAACAGAGGAGGAAAGACTTATTCAAAACACGAGACGCCTCTTGAGAGAGAGAGAGAAAAAAAAACCCTCCTTCTTTGGCCCGAAGAATATCACTTTTCAGCCCAGAACTGTTCTGGGAACTCTTTGACGTTCCTGAAGATTAAAGAGATCTCTGACACTTTGCAAAACATTTCAAAGCCATTCGATTTCCCGTTGAAATAGCACGGCACGGCTTCGAAGCACTTCGAGAACGTCTTGTAAGGGAGAGCGTTGACGTTCTGTCGTTAAGAACAGGCGCGTGTGGCGTTCCCCGTAGCTCAGTGGTTAGAGCGAGAGAGGGAGAGACCTGGGTTCGATTGCCGGGCGGGACAGGTCAGCGCGAAACCCTGGGCAAGTTTCCTTACCCCACAAATTGCTCCTCCTTACTTTTTTCCGGGAGTAACAATCCCTTCAAAAAAAAAATAATAATAATAAATCGGTCACTTGAATCCACCGCTGTTTGTGGGGACGGATGCTGCTGTGCGCAATTGGCTGCCGCGTTTCGCCCACAAAATGCGCAGTCACTACACTCTACAGTAGGTCCTGCGAAGCGGTTTGAGAACCTCTCGAAGAGGTGATAAGGCGCTGTATCGAATGCGAGGATTATTATTATTATTATTATTATTACTATTATTATTATCCACAGTATGAGTTACTTTAGGAAAATGTGAGGAATGGTACAGGTATTCTATCGTTGTGTATGTGCTCGCGTGTGTGTGCGTGTGTGCATGTGTGTGCGCGCGCGTGTGTGTGTGTGCATGTGTGTACGACTACATTAGTAAGTTCAGTTACGTTTATAATAAGGAGCTCCACCGGTAATCATTTCCATATGAATTCTTTGAATACTCCTTAAAATCACTGACGCCACTTTTCAATCATAATCATATGGTTCCCTTTCAAGATGCCTTTCATTTCAGACGAGGCAGGCAGCCTGCTCTTTGTAAAGCTGCGTTCTCCGTATAATAAAAGTCTTAAAATAAATATGTTTCGGTTAAAGTGGAGGGAACATATTGCAATAAATAATGCAGTCCAAAGCGGCCAGGAATGTGGGTACATTTATGGGTGGCTCCTTTTTTTTTTCAGGCAACTTGAGACATTTTTGCCGTCTGCAATCAAACCCATTCATTATTCGACTATATTTAGGGTTATAAACCATACCTCCTGTGCTATCGATGCCCACAGCAAAATATATTGGCCGGTGGCTGTGTGGGACCCGGTCTCCCGCTCTGCAAATACTGTACAAGTATTTGTATATATTCCCTCTGCCTCTCTCCCTCCATCGTCTCCTTCAAACCCTGTCTCAAGACCCTCCTTTTCGACCACGCCTTTGGTCGCCCTCCTCTCCCCCACCCTCCTTGTCCTCCACCCCTTCCTGAGCCCAACCCCCAGCTCGGGTCCAAATCCCTGACTGTCCAGCGCCTTGGGATGTCCTCCTGACGTGAAAGGCGCTGAGTAAATGTCATTTTGCGTTGCATTTAGGCTTATTCCCCTGAAAAATATACAGTCCACAATTCGCTCACAAAACACACAGTCACTACACTTTACAGTGTATCTTGTGAAGCGCTTTGAGACGTCTCGAAGACGAGATGAGGCGCCGGGTCAAATGCCGGGATTATTATTATTATTATTATTATTATTATTATAAAAGCACCTGTTTTTCGTGCGTGAAACATAGGTGGCATTTTATTAATGAGCTGTTGTCAGTTTATTTGCTGCTAAACCCGTTCGTTAAATAATCACCGTGAAGTGTAAGCATTTCTTTGAACTGAAGAGGAAGTTCCTGTTTGAGAAGAGTCCTGGAAATTTCCTTAGATTTCGTTGGCTGCTCACCAGCCCGAGAACAGGGAATGCTTTCAACTGAAACCTCCTCAACACCTCGAGGAATGCTATGGTCCAGTGCTTGAAGCCGCAGAGCAGACCACAGTTAATCCGGTCTTAAAATTCCCTTCTAATAATAATAATAATAATAATAATAATCCTTGCATTTTATATAGCGCCTCATGGGCCACAAAATGCACAGTCACTACACTTTACAGTGTATCCTGGGAAGCGCTTTGAGACGTCTCAAAGACGTGATGAGGCACCGGGTCAAACGCCGGGATTATTATTATTAACATCACAACTTCGAGAATTCTCAAAGCGCTTCACGGAATGCATTGTCAAGTGTCAAGTGACTGTGTATTCTGTGGGCGAAACGGGGCAGCCAATTGCGCACGGCGGCGTCCCCGCAAACAGCCGGGGGCTGAAGCGACCGAATTAATATTATTATCATTATTTATTTTGTAGGGATTATTACCCCCCGGAAAAGTGATCCCCCCAATCGATTAACAACCGGGTTTCTACTGACCGCCGGTAACCGGTGTGCGTGTGCGTGTGTGTGTGTGTGGGGTGGGGGGTGGGAGGGGGGGCGTAAGGAAACTTGCCCAATGTTTCGCCCTGACCTGACCCGCCCTGGAATCGAACCCGGGTCCACTTGCTTGCGTGGCGAGGGCTCTAACCCCTGAGCGACAGGAAGCTCCGCAGGTCAATGACAGGCAGTGTCAGAGCGCTGAGATAAGACTCATGCAGTGAAAACAAACTTGTGACCAAAACAACCTGAAGTTCAGGCTGAGTCGCCGCTCTTCAAATATCCGAATGTCTATCGCAACAGTCAACGATAAAAGTTCAAGTGGATCCTAATTATGTTTAGCTTGAATTTTCTTTGGCTCCGAAAAAAAATCAGTCATCAGCAAACTATTCGACGGTGATCGATAACGCGGCGCATCAGCCGGACACGCTGATAGCAATCCTCGCGTTTGACCCGGCGCCTCATCACGGCTTCGAGACGTCTCAAAGCGCTTCGCAAGGATACGCCGTAAAGCGTAGTGACTGTGTGCTTCGCGGGTGAAACGCGGCAGCCGATTGATTGCGCACAGCAGCGTCGCCCACAAACAGCCGCGGGTTGAGTAACCAAATTATTATTATTATTATTTTTTTTGAAGGGATTATTATCGCCGGAAACGCGATCCGCCAATCGACTAACAACCGGGTTCCTACTGACTGCCGGTAACCAGAGGCGTATGTGTGTGTGTGTGTGTGTGGGGGGGAAGTAGGGAAACTTGCCCAACATTTCGCCCTGACCTGACCCGCCCGGGAATCGAACCCCGGGTCCTCTCGCTCGCGAGGCGAGGGCTCGAACCCCTGAGCTACAGGACGTGCTCTAACCGGAATTACCGTGAAGCTTGAGCGATCGAGTCTGGTCCGTGCGATCAAGAAACCCACCAGACCATCCTTCTGACCGTTGGGCCGTCCATTTGATGCTTGTGAAGATATCCACAGCCGCGGCAGGAAGTGGTTAGGAACACACAGCTCCAATCCTTGTCTGTTCAACACATGTGGGAAAGGATCGTTCCCTGAATAATGCCGCGTTTCATCACATTATTCCGATAGAACCTTCAGCCACAAAATCTCACTCGTTGGGATACTGACACACAGCGACGAGGAAGGCCCAGAGATCACTGTAATAATAATAATAATCATTGCATTTGTTACGGTGACCTGTATTTCCAAGGAAGTATGTGGATGTCAGAGTCCAGAAATTCCATTCAATCTTATAATAATAATGATAATAATCCTCGCATTTGACCCGGCGCCTTATCACGTCTTCGAGACGTCTCGAAGCGCTTCACAGGATACACTTTAAAGTGTAGTGACTGTGTGGTTTGTGGACGAAACGCGGCAGCCAATTGCGCACAGCAGCGTCCCCACAAACAGCCGTGGGTTGAAGTGACCGAATTATTATTATTTTCTTTTTTTTGAAGGGATTATTACCCCCGGAAAAGCGATCGGCCAACCGGGTTCCTACTGACTGCTGGTAAACAGAGGCGTGTGTGTGTGCGTGTGGGGTGGGGGGGGGGTGGGGGGGGGGGAGTAAGGAAACTTGCCCAACGTTTCGCCCTGACTTGACCCACCTGGGAAACGAACCCGGGCCCTCTCGCTCGCGAGGCGAGGGCTCGAACCCCTGAGCTCCGGGGAACTCCATATATAACCGAGAGGCTCAAAGTGACTATGTTCCCATTGGAGAAAGGTATTCAATCTCTCAGCAGTGACACTCAGTGAGGGATGTGTTCGTGAGAAAGTTATTGAAGGTTACGCAGATATGGTCAGGGAGTGAAGAGTGTCATCCATCATTCTCAGTTGGATTTGCACCAAGCTCCCGGACAAAATGGACATAATTTAACTAACTCCACCGTCAAGAGCTCTATTTTTAGCACCTTCTTTGGCTCCCAGCGAAGTGCAAACTGTCCTCTGTCGCTCTTCAGAAAAACAAACTGACATTCTCAAACCGATTGGTGGAAACGACCATCTTGTGACCATCTTTGACTGCAGCAAGTTCCAGTCTTAAGGTTAGAACAAAAAAGAGATTGCTCCGGATTGCTGCAGGTAGAGCGCTCACATTTTGCTCTCTTAAATATGATCCAAAAACGAGAATAAGAATAATGTTTGCACTTAACGTAGCTCCATATCCTGTCCCCATTCGAGACGGCTCGAAAAGCACCTCACAGAATATATTGTCAAGGGAATTGACTGTTTATTTTGTGGCCGAAAGGCAGAGAAAGGCATTTGTTGTTGTCGGTGGTGGTGGTGGTGGTGGTGGTGGTGAGGAGCCATGACTAGCGAAACAGGTCCTGGTACAGGGTAGGATGGGACCCAACGATGACAAGGGCACAAGTCAATGGTTTGGGGAAGAGCTGGTGGCGAATCTCTTATTGCTAAGTGTCCAACAAGCTCGTGTGTGTCACGCAAACTTGTCGAGACCCCCGAAGTAATAATAATAATAATAATAGAGCACTATTTAAGAAGGGTGGGAGAGAAAATAGGGAAAACTATAGACCAGTTAGTTTGACGTCAGTTGTAGGGAAAATTCTTGAGTCCTTAATAAAAGACGTAGTTATGGGATACCTGGAAGACCATAAAAAGATTAGGCAGAGTCAACATGGCTTTACAAAAGGGAAGTCATGCTTGACTAACCTTTTAGAATTTTTTGAGGATGTACCCAGGAGGTTGGAGAAGGGGGAACCAGTAGATGTGGTATATTTGGATTTTAGGAAGGCATTTGACAAGGTGCCACACAAAAGGCTGTTACTCAAGATCAAGGCCCACGGGATTAATGGGACAATATTAACATGGATAGAAGAGTGGCTATCGGGTAGAAAGCAGAGAGTAGTGATAAACGGATCATTCTCGAATTGGCAGGAGATGTAACTAGTGGAGTGCCACAAGGATCAGTGCCTCGGCCTCAGCTATTTACCATTTACATCAATGATCTGGACGAGGACATTGAATGTAATGTGTCTAAATTCGCGGATGATACTAAACTCGGCAGCAGAGTGAGCTCTCAGGATGATGCAAAAAGATTGCAACGGGATATAGATAGGCGCGGGGAGTGGGCAAGTAGGTGGCAGATGGAATTCAATGTTAGCAAGTGTGAGATTATTCACCTCGTAGCAAGAATAAAAGAACAGATTATTTTCTGGAAGGGGAGAAGTTAGATAGTGTTAGTATTCAAAGGGATTTGGGTGTCCTTGTACACCAGTCCCAAAAAGTTAGTTTGCAGTGCAGCAGCAACTGAGAAGGCGAACGGCAGTTAGCGTTCATTGCCAAAGGTTTAGAATATAAGAGTAGGGAAGTCTCGCTGCAGCTATATAGGGCCCTGGTGAGACCGCACCGAGAGTATTGTGTGCAGTGTTGGTCTCCTTATTTAAAAAAGGACATACTTGCCCGAGAGGGGGTGCAGCGTAGATTCACTCGGTTAGTTCCTGGGATGAGGGGACTGACCTATGAGGAGAGGCTGAATAAACTGGGGCTGTATTCTCTAGAGTACAGAATTAGGGGGGATCTTATTGAAACATATAAGATTCTTAAAGGGCTGATAAAGTAGACACTGAGGGTCTGTTTCCCCGGTGGGAGAATCTATAACCAGGGGTCACAGTCTGAAAATTAAGGGTCAGCCTTTTGGAACAGAGTTGAGAAAACATTTCTTCACTCAGAGGGCAGTGACTTTATGGAGTTCACTACCCCAGAAGGCTGTAGATGCTCAGTCCTTGATAATGTTCAAGGCTGTGACTGATCGATTCTTGAAAAATAGAGGGATTAGGGGATATGGGGATAGGGCGGGTAATCAGAGTTAAGTGAGAAGATCAGCCGTGATCTTATTGAATGGCGGAGCACAGGCACGAAGGGCCGAATGGCCGACTCCTGCTCCTAATTCTTATGTTCTTATGTTCTTAAATTCTCATGTTTCCCGTACAGCTTCCAAAGGCAAAATTATAGAAAGATTTCGATTGATTTCTTGGGGGGTATTTGGTGCATTCGATGCATTAGCAATAGAAGCGAGTCCAGGAACCGAAGGTGAATAGAAAAGCCGCTGATTCAGCCGAGCTTTCCCGTCGAAAGGCCAGGGCTAATCCGATAAAAGATGAAATTCCTATTTATACTCACTGATGAATTATTGAGACCAACACTGACGCTGGAATAAATGCCCTCAGTTTAGTGTTTGTTCCAACACCAAGGACGTCTCAAAATGAGTTTAAATTATATTTTAAAATAATATTCGCTCTGCCGTGCGCAATTGGTTCTGCTGTGCGCAATTTCGCCCACAAAATACACAGTCACTAACTTTGTCCTGTGAAGCATTTGAGACATCTCGAAGATGTGATCAGGCGCCGTATCAAATGTAGGGATTATTATAATTATAATTATTATTATTAGTGGAAGGAATCGACAAACTCGATCACAGATCGACAGAGCGTAGTAAAAGATATTCAAAACAAGAGAAATAGGTTTAACAGAGGATCACGTGTTCGGAGATGTTATTTCATGCCGAGAATTCCCACATACTGAGTCGCAGATCACATTGCAGCACGACGGGAAACTTCATATTAAAATAATAATAATAATCCTTGCGTTTGACACAGCTTTGATCTTCGAGACGCCTCAAAGTGCTTCACAGCATATATTAACGCACCGTAAAGCGCAGTGACTGTATATTTTGCGGGCGAAGCCCGGCAGCCAATTGCGCACAGAGTCGTCCCCACGAACAGCTCAGTGGGTTGAGTGACCAAAATTATAATTTTTTTTGAAGGGATTGTTACCCCCGGAAATAACGTGCGCGCGCGCGTGTGTGTGCGCGTGTGTGTGCGTGTGTGTGCGCATGTGTGTGCGTGTGTGTGGAGTAACGAAACTTAAGCTCTCGCCCGGGAATCGAACCCGGGTCCTCTCTCGCTTGCGAGGGCTCTAACCGCTGGAATCGCAGGAAGCGATGGACGACAGCTGAGGAAAGGGGTTTGAGGAAGAAACGGACGAGCAGGAAAACATCTGAAAAGGAACATCTCGACCCAAAAAAAAAAGGAACGGTGTGGGGGGGGGGGGGGGTGGGGGGGGTTTGCAAAAGGAAAAGAGATCGCTTTAAAAACAAACCCCAGATGGAAATGTCTTCATTGTCACAGTTGAGAAGATGGAGGATGGATGTGTTCTGTGACATGGGGTGGGGGGGGGGGTGGGGGTGGTGGGGGGTGGGGGGGGGGATGAGTGATTGTGGAGTAAGAGTGAACTGATTCACTGACCCCTGGAGAAACTGCTCGGGAGAGAATCGGAAAGCCAGGTGTGTGCGCGGCAGCAAGAGAGATAACCATTATTTACGGGGGAAAAAAAATTCTTGGCCGCAGTAGAGAGTCATAGCGACTGTAGGTCCGGTGGGTTGGGGTGGGGGGAGTGGGGGGGGAATCCAGGACAACGAGGATGGGGGGCATCATCTTAAAATTAGAGCCAGGCCATTTAGGAGTGAAATCAGGGGCAACTTTCCACCCAAAGGATCTCTCTCTCCCCCTCTCTCCCCAAAAGGCTGTGGATTGTGGCTGTGGGATCCATTCATTCACATCTTCCACACGGAGCTGGAGAGATGTTTGTCAGGTCAGGGGATCGAGGGATATGGGGTAAACGCGGGGCAATTGGGGTTGAGGTACAGGTCAGGCCTGATCTTATAAAATGGCGGAACAGGCTCGAGGGGCTGAATGGCCTCCTCCCGTTGCTATGTAACAACGAACTGAGGGCGTCATATGGGGAACATATGGAGAACATACTCTGATTCAAGAACAAATAAATAACTAATACTCGCATTTAATTCCAGCAGCTCACCCTGTTGTTAAGTCTTAAACTGTTTCGCACCGTGACTTACTTCGAAGTTTACCGATTGATATGTAGGCACCTGATATCCACCAGCAATGTAGTAATGATCCTGGCATTCGATGCAGCGCCATCGAGACGTCTCAAAGCGCTTCACAGGGCTCGGCTGTAAAGTGTCGTGACTGTTAATTCCTGGTCGAGACGCGGCAGCCAATTGCGCACAGCAGTGTCCCCACAATTGAGCGACCAAATTATTATTATTTACTGTGAAGGGATTATTACTCCCGGAAAGCCGTCCGCCAATCGACTAACAACCGGTAACCAGAGGTGCGCGCGCGTGCGCGTGTGTGCGCGTGTGTGTGCGCGTGTGTGTGCGTGTGTGGAGTAAGGAAACTTGCCCAATGTTTCGCCCTGACCCGAACCGAACCGCCCCGCCCCGGGAATCGAACCCGCGAGGCGAGGGCTCTAACCCCTGAGCTACGGGGAACTCCACAAACAGCAAGGAAACGAGTGGCGTACAAGCCAATTGGACTGCAAAAAAAGAAAAAAAAAACACCAAGAAAGAAGAAAAGAAACAAGAGACGTACGTATTACAATAAGGTTTCCACGATATCTGGTGGATGGCGCCCGACCGGCCGACCGGCCGACCGGCGGCTCTCGATAGATGACCGAACGGAAAAATAGTCGGACTTTCGTTATGTTTGCGACAACGGAATGAAGAAAGCATAAGGGTTGTTGTAATCCAATGGCTAAAAGTTCAGGCTTCAGGAAGGAGCACAGAATGCGTGGAGGCAGGAATAAACCAATGACTTCCAGATTGTACTTCAAAACCCAAGGGATCGGAGCACACAAACAGCTTTTGCACTAACGCACTGTATCTCCGGTCAGACTAAATTCCAAAGGATTTAGAGAAAGTCCATCCCCCCCCCCACACCACCACCGTCCCACCCTTTCAGGAACGCTCAGCTACGCGCAATTAATAAAAACCGTCAGGTAACTGTAACAGTACGATTTGGGTCTGGGAGCGGAATTGCCTTCTGACCGTGCACTTTCTTTTTCAAGCCGAAACACACAGTCACTACACTTTATGTGGGACGTGTGGGACTGTTTGTGGGGACGCCGCTGCGCGCAATTGGCTGCCGCGTTCGCCCACAAATATACAGTCAATTCACTTTACAGTGTGTTCTGTGAAGCGCTTTGGGATGTAGAGAAAACGTGATAAGGCGCTGTATCAAATGCAAAGATTATTATTATTATTATTATTATTATTATTAAACAAAGACCTTTATGAACCACTTTGACTTGGAATAATGTGAGGTGAGACTCGAACGCGGGATTCCCTGATGTTCAGGCTACGTTTTGCGACGTCTTCGAAAAGCTATTTTTATATCTTCGCGCTGCACAGTTCGAAACAAACAAATAAAAAGGATAAGAATAATAACTTGGTCGCTTCACACCGCGACTGTTTTATCAATCAATTAATTAACAATGAATTATTTTATTCATTGTTAATTACGGCGGTTTTATTCAGAATGAAATAATAATAATGAATATAATTAATGGCTTAGTGACAAAACAGTGGTAATTAATAACTCGTAAAATAATGAATTACTTATACAATAAAATAATTAATAAAATTAATTCATTGATAAAGTAATTATGATCATTTTAATGTCTCAGGGTGGAATCGCAGAGCGAGTGGGGAGGCGGGAGATCATTTTTAGAAGGATTTTGAAGGCAAGGAGAGAAAAGAGGGGCAAACAAATTTTGGGGGGGGAGAGCGGCAGAGAGCAGAGGCATCATAACTGAGCCACAAAAAGTGGGGCAGAGGGGGTGAGCGACACACCCCAACAACAACAGCAACAGATTACATTTGTATAGCGCCTTTCAGGTCGCGAGGACGTCCCAAGGCGTCGGACCCAAACTTGAAGAGTGGAGTATGAGCGGGACAATAATCATCATCATAATAATAATACTAATAATAATAATAATAATCCTCGCTTTTGACCCGGCGCTTCATCACGTCATCAAGACGTCTCAAAGCGCTTTAGGATACACCGTAAAGTGCAGCGACTTTGTCTTTTGTGGGCGAAACCCGGCAGCCATGGGGTTGAAGCCACCGAATTATTATTTTTTTTGGAAGGGATTATTACCCCCGGAAAAGCGATCCCCCGATCGACTAACAACCGGGTTCCTACTGACTGTGTGTGTGTGGGGGGGGGGAAACTTGCCCAACGTTTCGCCCCGACCTGACCCGCCCGGGAATCGAGCCCCGGGTCCTCTCGCTCGCGAGGCGGGGGCTCGAACCCCTGAGCTCCGGGACACACACTCAGCGTAAGCTGTCTGAATCACCAGTGTTCGGCGAAGTGCTGGACTTGCTCTTGGCCCTCTGAGCGAGACAGACACCTGTTTCTTGGCCGTGAAATCGTTTGAAGAGTTTCCTCTGGATATGACAAACACTGGGGGTATTTCACTCCCCCCCCCCCCCCCACCCCCGCCCCACAAGCCACAAGATGATTCCCTTCTGCCCGGCAAACCTGGCTCACGCTCCATTCTCCTGACACACCAAGTCACGGGCCGATATTTCTGACGCACATCAAGATGCTTCACATTTCTCGAAAATTATAAAATCCAGATGCTGCGTTTTTTTCTAATAAGTCGCTCTTTACATCGCCCCCTCGGGATCCTTTTTTTTCCCCCTCTCACACCCCTGCGATCTCTCCCGGATCACGTGAGTGTGAACGTCCCGAAGGCTTTCGATTCGGTAGGAGTTTTCTCTGTCGCTCGGGGGTTCGAGCCCTCGCCTCGCAAGCGAGAGAGGGACCCGGGTCCGGTTCCCGGGCGGGTCGGGTTAGGGCGAAACGTTGGGGAAGTTTCCCTACTCCCCCCCACCTCCCCAACCCCCCCCACACACACACACACACACACAGTCAGTAGGAACCCGGTTGTTAGTCGATCGGGGGATGGCTTTTCCGGGGGTAATAATCCCTTCCAAAAAAAAATAACGATAATAATTTGGTCGCTCAACCCACGGCTGTTTGCGGGGGACGCTGCTGTGCGCAATTGGCTGCGGTTTCGCCCACAAAACATACAGTCACTACACTTGACAGTATATCCTGTGAAGCGCTTTGAGACGTCTCGAAGACGTGATGAGGCGCCGGGTCAAATGCCGGGATTATTATTATTATTAAATAAGTTATTACCAAACCACCCCCAGTTGAAAATTCTCGTCCTCACCTTCAAAGCCCTCCGCGGCTTTGCCCTCTGCTGCCTCTGTGACCTGCGAACCCCTTACCAACCTGTCCTCTCCCTCCCTCGCCTCCTTCAAGGCCCGTCTCAAGACCCTCCTCCTCGACCGTGCCGTCGGTCACCCTCCTACTACCCCCACCCTCCCCGCCCTCCACCCCCTCCTGATCTCAACCACCTCCCCACGCCCGCGTCCTAATGCCTAAACCGTTCAGCGCCTTGAGACGTCCTCCCGAGGTGAAAAGCCCTCTGCAAACGGAATTGTGTAAAGTATTTTATTTCTCCCTAGAATTTCATCTGCCAAGGCCATCCGAGGAGGATGGAATGGCAATGACTTGGCCTCGGAATGAATTTGGGGCACAATAGGTTAACGAAAAAGTCTGTTGGCCTTCTCCGAGTCCAATTCCGACTCCAAAAGAGCTGGAAAAATTCCTCCGAAGCCCAATGATAATGTAGCATGAGCTGAAGGAGTTAGCAGACTAACTTAGGGTGATTGTGTTACTGATTTTGACAGCAAAATGTTTTGGATGGTTTTGGAGGGTGTCATCGATACATTCCAAGCTCTGGCCGACATTTCAAGCGTGAAGGAACCGTGTCCACTCGGGTTGGTGATGAGACAAGACATTTGTGCGTCTGTCACACACCTGATGGTGGGCTTCACAAAGAGAGGTCACATCGTTTACTCGAACAATAATAATCCTTACCTTTGTTCTGGCGCTTTTCGCGTCTTCCAGACGTCTCCCTCCCTCCTTCCCTCCCTCCCTCCCTCCCTCCCTCGCCGACCTCTTTACTCCCACCAAACTCAGTCACGCTCTCCCTCAATCCCTCCGCCTCGCCTCGACTGTATGTTTTTATTTTATATATTTTGTCTTTAATCTAATGCAGTGGAGTTCCCTGTAGCTCAGGGGATAAAGCCCTCGCCTCGCTGGGTCAAATGCAGGGATTATCCTTACTATTATTATTATTATTATTAATTCTCCAGCAGGATATTAAGAAAGGAGCAAATCTGATCAACACTGCCATCTGGAGCCCTGTAACAGATACAACAAACTTCCGCTAAATGGTTTTGACGCTGATAAAATCCAGTCCAACGTCTTCGAAACAGATTGCTCAGATAACTGTTGAGTTACCCCACTCCAGGAAGGAGATTTATAGCTTTGGAACGAGCGCAGAATAGACGGACAACGACTTTGCCGGCGGATAAGTGGATGCAGAGATTGGGAAAGATTAGATAGGATGAATTTTTCTTTCTGGAGAGAGAGAGGATCTGATAGAGATATTTGAGACAACGAAGGTATTCAATAACGAGGACATTAATATGGGATGTTTCCATTTTTTGATGAGTCCGAAACGTAAGGGAATCAATATAAGGTGATGATGATAATCCCGGCATTTGACCCGGCGCCTCATCACGTCTTCGAGACGTCTCAAAGCGCTTCAAAGGATACACTGTAAAATGTAGTGACTGTGTATTTTGAGGGCGAAACGCGGCAGCCGATTGCGCACAACAACAACAACAACAACAAGATTACATGTGTATAGCGCCTCTCACGTCAGGAGGATGTCCCAAGGTGCTGAACAGTGGCAGCATTTCAGACCCGAGCTGGGGTTGAGGGGGGGGGGGGGGAGAGGGGTGGGGTGGGGAAGGGGGTGACTGATGGTCTGGTCGAAGAGGAGGGTCTTGAGGAGGGACTTGAAGGAGGCTAAAGGGGGGGGTGATTGGAGTGACCGGGGGATGGAATTCCAGAGGTTGGGGGCAGAGTGGCTGAAGGCTCTCCCGCCAATGGTGGGGCGGGTGGGTCGGGGGACGTGGAGCAGCCGGAGCCGACTGAGCGGAGGGAGCGGGCGGGTTGGTTGGGGGTTAGGAGGTGGCAGAGGTAGGGTGGGGCGAGGCCATGGAGGGCTTTGTAGGTGAGGACCAGGATTTTGAACTGGATCCTCTGAAGGATAGGGAGCCAATGGAGTCGGTCGAGAGTGGGGGAGATGGGGTCACGGAGTTTGGTTCAGGAGAGGACACGGGCGGCAGAGTTCCTGATTATCTGCAGCTGTGGAGGGAGGAGTTGGGAAGGCCGACACACAGGCGTTTGCATAGTCGAGTCTGGAGGTGATGAAGGCATGAACAAGAGTTTCAGTGCCTGAGGGGTGAGGTAGTGGCGGAGTCGGGCGATGTTACGGAGGTGAGGGAAGGCAGAGGGGGTCATGGCTTGAATGTGGGGGAGAAAAGACAGTTGAGGGTTGAACAAGACCCCCAGGTTCCTGACTGGCGGTGAGTTGGTGAGTTGTAGTGTACACCATGGAGGGTGATGTTGCCGGAGCCCGAGGTGCGGAGGCGCTGGGGGGAGCCAATCAGGAGGGCCTCAGTCTTGTTCACATTCAACTGTAGGAAATTTGCCCTCATCCAGAACTTGATGTCCGACAGACAGTCTATCAGGACAGCAGTGGCCCTGGAGTTGAGGGTGGGGCAGAAAGATAGAGTTGGGTGTCATCCGCATACATGTGGAAGTTGACCCCATATCTGCGGATGATGTCACCGAGGGGGAGCATATAGATATTAAAGAGGAGACCAGGACAGAGCCCTGGGGGACGGCAGACATGACAGTGCGGGGACTGGAGGACAAACCATTAGAGGCAACAAAGTGGAGATGGTGAGAGAGATAGGAATCGAACCAGGCAACGGCAGGTCCGCGAAGATCGAGTAAAGCACAGCAGCGTCCCCACAAACAGCCGCGGATTGAGCGACCAAATTATTATTATAATTTTGAAGGGATTATTACCCCCAGAAAGTGATCCACCAATCGACTCACAACCGGGTTCCTACTGACTGCCGGTAAACAGAGGCGCGCGCGTGTGTGTGTGTGTGTGTGGGGGGGGGTTGGGGGAGTAAGGAAACTTGCCCAACGTTTCGCCCTGACCTGACCCGCCCGGGAATTGAACCCGGGTCCTCTCGCTCGCGAGGCGAGGGCTTTAACCCCTGAGCTCCAGGTTTAATCAACAGCCCAAAGATGGCCCCAATCTAATTATTGGCCGATCACTGATGACCAGTAACAGATCTAAGAGAGAGTTTAGGAGGAACTTAAATTACTGGCAGCCCAAGTGTGACAACACCTGTTAATGACTCAACGACAGAAACATTCCCACGTGTTCCAATCGTTTCCTCCACCAACACACCCCTCCCAACTTAATATAGCGTCTCAGAGCGCTTAAAGAGTGTCGGAGCCTGACTCTCTCGCAGGAAATTATCGGGAGGAAATTCCAACGCAGCTGAAAGCAAACACCCAACAGCAGCGACTGAATACCGAAGCGACTGGGAACGCGCAGCAGGTCAGGCAGCGTCTATGGAGAGACGGGAGAGTGGGCTCGTGTTTCGGGTCGACGACGAGCGTGGAATCGTGCTACTGATCAGCAGACGGCAGTGTTTTCCGCAACTCCTTTTCCCCAAAGTCCCGCGAATCATTTGTCCGCGGATTAACCGGAGACCGAGCTTGACAGTTTGCAAATGCCCTTTGGAAGAACGTCGGCGCAGTGGACATCGCCATCTTGTGGGTGAATGATAATATAATGATAACATAATAATGTTATTAATAACAATATACTAATAATATAAATAATAATATTATATATTGTAAACAGCCGTGCAAAATCCACAGTCACTACACTTTACGGTGCATCCCGCTTTGAGACGTCTTGAAGACGCGATAAGGCGCCGGATCAAACACAAGGATTATTATTATTATTATTATTATTATAAAATCCTCGCTCTCTTTTCAGTACATTAACCTTCGGTTGGCTCTTTATTTGATTATATTAATAATAAACCCCTCATTTGAGACGGCGCCTTATCGAGTCTGCGAGAGGTTCTCAAAGCGCTTCACGGGATTGACCGGCGAGTGGATCGACCTGCGGGTGAGACGCCGTTGCCCCCTTTCAAACTGGGGAAGAAAGCGGGGTCTTTCCAGCTTTTGAGAGAGAGAGAGAGAGAGAGAGAGAGAGCGAGAGAGAGAGAGAGCGCGAAACGTCAGCGTGGAATTCATTTGCTCGTGACCGCTGGAAAGAATGCTGTGGTTTGATCGAAGTTGAAATGGGCTCAGGTTGGAAGGGGTAAAGCGCATCGAAACAGACGGATGTTCCCGACGCAGGAAATCCTTCGGAATGGAAACTCGGAACGGGGACTGGAGCAATCGGGTAACGCTGTTGGCCTGACACGTGCCGCGACACGGAGTATGTGGAGTTACACCGGAGCTCCAGGGGTTAGAGCCCTCGCCTCGCCAGCCAGAGAGGACCCGGGTTCGATTCCCGGGCAAAACGTTGGGCAAGTTTCCTTACTCCCCACCCCACACGCACACACACACGCGCACACACGCACACACACACACGCACGCACACGCACACGCGCGCGCGCCAGTCAGTAGGAACCCGGTTGTTAGTCAGTTATTATTAAACATAATAATGATGTGGTCACTCAATTCCACGGCTGTTTGTGGGGAGACGCCGCCGTGCGCACTCGGCTGCCGCGTTTCGCCCACAAAATACGCAGTCACTACACTTGACAGTATGTCCTGCGAAGCGGTTTGAGACGTCTCGAAGACGTGATGAGGCGCCGGGTCAGATGCCGGGATTATTATTATCATTCTCGCCTCAGACTAAGATTGACTCACGTTCTCACAGGGCGGAAAAAGGGTCTGGAAAAGTGTTGCCCTAACATGGTCAAAGCACCAGGAACTGGTGAACGTTTGCCAACACGCAGATAAAAATAAATGTGCCACGTGTGCTAACTTTCGTCTTACATAGGATAAACCTCCCCCAAAACCCAGTTGCGACAGAGCCGAATAATAATAATAACCCTCGCGTTTGATCCAACGCCTCATCACGTCTTCGAGACGTCTCAAAGCTCTTCACAGGTCACGCTGTAAAGTGCATCGATCGGGTATTTTGTGAGCGAAACAGTGAGATAAACTGGAGCTGCGCAACCTTGGGAAGCGATATCTCAGCCGTGCAGCACGTTGAGATTAACGTGAGGATTATTTTTATTTATTTTATCCTTACAACGAAGCATTCCGCAGGCACCCGGGGAGAGAGCCAAGCCCTCCGAGATGCTACCGCGCGTGTGAGGGGAGCTATCGGTAAGCAACTCGCTGTTGTGGTCCTGACGAGATTGACGCTTAAGAGTACTCAGTGGGGCAGAAGTACGCGCAAAATCAACGTAAGTTTCACTCAGTTATATCAGCGTAAAATAGAGAACACGCTTTTTAACACAAGGAATGTCCTGTAATTTATGCTTTGGTTGTGGATTTAGAGCAAATCAGTTGCACATGAGGTTTAGAGTCAATAATTCCTTCCCCCAAAAAATATTAATTTGGTCGCTCAACCCACGGCTGTTTGTGGGGAGGCCTCTGGACGCAATTGGCCTGCCGCGTTTCGCCCACAAAATACACAGTCACTACACTTTACAGTATATTCTGTGATTCATAATATTAGTAATAATCCTCGCATTTGATACAGGACCTCATCAGGTCTTCGAGGTGTCTCAAAGCGCTTCACGGGATACGCCGTAAAGTGCAGTGACGGTGTGTTTCGTGGGCGAAATTGTGTTTTTTGTTAATCGGCTTTGGCGATGCTCATTTTTTTTAAAAATATACCGTCGGGAAGGGTAGGAATCCGGCCACTGGCTGCTGTCCCGCACAAAGCTGAGAGCACGCCAGCTGAACAAACACTCCAGAGG